ACGGCAGCTGAACCTGAGCGAGCATAAGGTAATTCGGCTCGTTCTCGGAGGTGTGGGTCCCCAAAATCATCTTCTGCACCGAATAGTCCTTCCCCGGAGGCTCCTCTCGGTCGGGAAGCCACTCCACAGTAAGCGATGGCCATTCTAGGGCATGGGTTATGACCAGATCGTACAAAAACGGAGTGTTCTTCTTCCATATCTTGTACTCCTCGTTTATCAACCGCTCCTCTATCTCTCCCCTCATTTCTTCGTCGTCTTTGCCCATGCTTTTCCTTTCACTTTCTCGGAAATTCTCGGATTTTCTCGAGAAAATTGTTGAATCTGAAGTATAGGTTCTTGGCGGGAATTTGGCGCAAACAAACCCTAAATGGAGGGTTTGAGGAGCGAGTGATAAGAGGGAGAGTGTTTAGAAGTTTGGAGAAGTAGAGAGATGTTGGGCTTTGCTGGCGGGTCTTTGGTACGGCTGGAAAAAATCGACCGATTCGTACCTAACTCAGCTCCAAAAAAAACCGAACCGATAACATCAAACCTCTCAGTAATCGAAACCAAAAAATTCTTGCACGTTATCGGATCTAATATCCGTTAGTTTGGTAGTATCGAACCGATCCAATTTTAAGAATACATATACAACAAGCCTTTAAAAGATGGGGATTCTAATTTTTTTTTATAAAAATGAGGATTGGTTGTGGGGCACAACACATCGAATTCAAATCGTCTATTGCATCTCATAGATTATTCTTGTAAAATATTAGTTAAATTGGAAATATTTAAGACATCTAATTTGATTAAAAAAAAATTAACAAATACTTTATTATATAAGAAACAATGAAATTTTTTCTTGGTAATTAAATAAGCAAATGATTTCGGATTGACTTGAATTTTTTCAAAAATGATCTATGAATCGAGACTTATAAAATAGATGATTCGGATTTTTGAAGTTCGATGTGGAATGGGCCCCACACCTAATCACCATTTTTTGAAAAAAAATCTCTTTGCATAAAAGGGTGTGTGTGTGTGTGTGTGTGTGTATATACATACATATATATATATATATTTTAATTCAAATGGGAATTGTTATTAACACTCCAAAAATCTCATTTGGCACTCCAAATATAATTAGAAAGAAAAATACACTTGTTAGTAGGGGTGAAATTTTTTCCAGAAAATCGTCCCGAACCCATCCCAAAATTTGACCGAAAAATGCCCGAACCGAATTTCCCGAAAAATTCGGTACCCGAAAGTTTCGGTTTGGGATTCAACCACAGCTTTGAAAGCGTTCGGTAATCCCGAAACGAACCGAATATTATATATATATTTATTTATTTTTAATTTTTAATTAGAAATTACTTGAACCATTGGATTTGTTAAGATCTAATCCAACTGCCCATTGAGTTAGATCATTTGTTAGGTCTCTCAGACTCTCTCAGTCTCTCTCACAATCTCACTCACACTCAGACACTCTCACGGTCTCACTCACAGTCCCGCCGCTCCACTCCTCCGTCGAATCCATGCCGCTTCTCCATTGACTCACACAAATGCAGAAAGGAAGACTCGAATCTGACACCAATCGAGTCCCAAAATCCAGGTAAGGGTTTCTGATTTTCACTGGGGTTTTGTTCTTTAGTGTTTAGGGTCAAATTTCATGTTGATTAACTTGATTTCTAAGTATTTTATCGAATGTGTGAGGGTTTGAGGACTGTGGTTTTCAAATTAGGGTGGGTAAGTGCAGGACCTGCATGCAGGATATGGTTCTATGTGTTTTGTCAAAGTATCTTCTCTCCAAATGTTTTGCAAAGGAAAATGTATAAGATATGGTTCTACGTTAATTACAGGAGCATTCTCACTAATATTCAAACGACTTGAGGAAGATCTGAAATAGAAATTTTGTAGAAGGAAATAGACCATAGTAGAGCTTTCCTTGTCTAATTCTAGCAACATAGCAGCATCAGAAAATCCCGAAGTGACCCAAAAATACTGAAACACTTTCGAGAATCCCAAATTTCGAGAAATGAATAGTTTCGGTTTGGTTTCGGATTATAAAATCACATCTCGAAATGTTTTGGTTTGGGATTCAGGTTAGGGATTTCGGATTGGGATCCCAACCCGAACCAGCCCTATTTGTTAGGAGTCTAAAATGAGTTTTTTGAAGTGCTAATAGCAATTCTCATTTAAATTATATAATATATTATAAGATTATAAACTATTGTCGTTGTCATATTAGTTGAGATTTAATCTCAACCGTTCAATCAATCCCTTCTCTCTCGACCTGATCTCAATTTTATTCTGTCTGGACTCGAATCGACGACTTCGCCTTCTCTCTTGACTTCGACCGACGCTCTCTTTCAACTCCAAGGGTCTCTCCTCCTCTGTCCACACCACACCACACACCATACAATGAAGAGTAACTATCTCTCTCCCTCTCCTTCTTAGTCTCTTCATGAAATAAAGGTGAGAATTTTCACTTCTAACGGCCATTCCCACAATAGAAGGTAGAAGTTTTACCCTAATTCGTTTAATTAGGGTTTCAATTTGGGATTTTAAATAGGGATTAGGGTTTCAAAATTTTACAAAATTGTGGTTTTTGAAATTGAATTAGCATTTTGATTTGGGGACTCTGAAATGGAATTAGGTTTTCGATTTGGGGATTTTGATTTGTAATTAAGATTTCGATGTGGGGATTTTGAAATTAAATTAGGGTTTTCAATTTGTGAGGGTGAATTATTAGGACTGTGATTAGGATTAATTATATTGGGGTTGTGAATTATTCTGTACTGGATATTGGGGTTGTGGTTGTGATTACTTTGGGGTTGTGAAATTGATATTTTTGTTAATATATGAAAGTTGAAACATATGATATTAATATATGTTGAACTAATAATTGTGAAAGATTATTGTGCAATGTTATGATGGATGGGTTTGGTAGCCAATTTAGTACAGTTATGTTGCATTTGTTGCACCGGACTATTTCAGACTGAATTAACTTAAAATAGATTAAGTAAGACTAACTTAGTGAAGTGTTTGATGTAGTTTCGTACTGAATAGCAGGATAATTAATAAAAATTATTTTTCTTTGTCTTTTTTTTCTTTCTCTTATTTTCTAGAAGTGTTTTTGTCTCTCCCTTTTTCTTTAGTCAAACTATCTCTACTCCTTTTTCTCCATCTCTTCCCTTTTCGTTTCCCATCCAGCTCCTTCTCCCCCACCCTTTCACCCTCTTCACTCCCGCTCATAATTTATAATCGACTGTGCATATCTTCAAAATCAAACCATACAGCAAAAAATAGAGTGAAAATTAAGGAGTTGAGGTAGGGTGCATGTGCCAAATATTATGTCATCAATATCAAGTATTTAGATCCCATCTCAAATATCCTGAGGGGGTTCAACTTAAATTTAATACTCTTCCAAGTATTTTTATCAATTCATACCTGCATTGCTTATATCTCCGAATCTAAAATAATTAAGTCCTCTTTGTCCTCTTTGAAGAAGTCACCACTAAATCAAAAACTGAGAAACTAAAACTTTACATCAATCTATCACTTTATGACGTCAATCTAAAACTAATTTCATAATTCCACCGAACAACTAATATTCCAAGTTATCACTATTCTAATCCTCTACTAACCAACAACGTCAACTCATATTAATTTATCAAGGATTTAAATCTCTTGGAATCGCAATTGAATACACACTCTTTAGTCCTGCGCTTAGAGGTGCTACCACACAGGGTCCCCAATTCGGAAGATACCTTTAATTTTCTTTACATGCACACATATACATGTGTACATATATTAGAATGTGCAAGATAATACCAAAGTTCTCTACCAGTGCCAGTGGTTTAGGTTTTCTGCCTTTTCGTGCATGAGCTACGTTCAGCTCGTTGTGGTTTTGCTTTGTTATTTTGAAGTTTTGTAAGTTTATAAACTTATTAAGCCGAGAAATATACATAAAAACATGCAACCCGGTTCGAACTCACGATCTTTTGAAGGTAGGAAACACTCAATTTCACTAAAACAAACTTAATTTTTGTTTGCCAACCTATAATAACAAAATTAAAAAATAATAAATAACAAAAAATACATCATTAAAAAATAAAGTACCTCCATTTAAGTTTTGCACGAAAACAAAACTAAAAAAAATAATAAATAATAAAGAGAATATAGCATTAAAAATAAAGGGCCTCCTTCTAAGTTTTGCATAGGCCCCTATGCTCAGGGCCAACCTTGCAGCCACGTTAGTACAAAAGTGAAATTCACTGTTAACATGTCCTCATTTAACGGTTAACTTAACAGATTTTTTAACGGATATATGTAATGAATGAAAAAGTAAGTAAATGCATGGAATTGATGTTTTAAAAAAAAAAAAATTGCATATGGTCCAATCCTAGTGAATAGGATGTTGAATTTCCACTCATGTGTCTCGTGTTCAAAACTCCCCCCCTCTTCTAAGTATTGTAAAAATTTAGAACTCTTCCCCTCCCTTAATAATAATTTCAATTGATCCAAAACTTGGGAATTAAAATATAATTTATCCTTTTTTTCTCCCAAAAAAAAAAAGAAAAAAGAGTACAATTTATCCTTTTAAGAACATGTCATCGTGAATTTATCTTAACAATTTGCATCTTTGTAACCAAACACCCAAATCTCTTTTTAAACATGTAACCAAATCCCTTTAACAAGTCTGCGAAGCTTTCATGCCATGACTACCATGACTACCATGGCGACTTCTTCGACTCCACCCACCATCCCTTCAACTTCTCCCCTTCGTCTAACCATTCCGATCCCAAGTCCCTCTTCCAACCGTTGATTTCGCTGTCGCATGAGAATGACATCTATGAAAACTGCAGTGATGTGTTGTTTCTGTTGTTGGTGTGAATAACACCGACTTATGTGGCGGGGTCGTCAGAGAGGATTACAAATTGAGGTTTCTCAGTTTCTCAATGGTGAATCTGGGGTGCTTATTAACACTGAGGGAAGATCGAATGCAGAAACTCGAGTATATCATATGTAAGGTAAGCGGAATATGACTGATTACTCAACAAAATGGCAACTTACAGCGTCAAACAGTGATATCATACAACAACAACAATGCTGATTCTCTATCACAAAACCATCAACCTTCAGTCGTATAAAGTTCCGAAACAACAATCTCTGGAGCATGCATCTCTCTCTAGAAAACCTTTACTTTTCTATCGACAATCCTGTTTCCGACAAGGTAGCTAGCTATACGGCAGTAACAGAAGCTGGGAGGGCACACCGCCATGAATTCGATCAATCAATGCCCAAGGTGGAATAGGGTTCATAGCCACCCTGAGAAAAATTCAAAACGAAAACTCTCAGTGATCCAGCATTGTTTTCCCCACTTAAATGGTAAAAACTATGTAAACATTTGATTAATAAAAGACCTAAAGGGGGGAAGTATAGAGCTAGAACCAAATGGTTTAAAACATGACCCAAACGGTTTAAAACTGCTTCCATTAATGTTTTCTATAAAGGCTAATCGCCAATACATGCGAACAAACAAATCAATTGGGTTTGTTTATATAACAGGGGAGAATGAACTAATTTCTTTCATATTCGTATTAACCAAATTTTATTGGTATATGCTACTCACAGAGCAGTCATCATGAACACGCCATATGGTCTCGCCCAGAAGATTCGCTACTGACAAGACAGTTAGCTGGGGAAAATAATTCTGCTCCGACACTGGAATGGTATTTGTTATGATCACCTCTTGAAACAAACCGCTCGACAGCCTCTCTATAGCAGGAGGGCTGAAAAAAAGACAACAGATAAAAGTAAATAGTCTAGCATGCTACTGTATACAGTGACTAATGGCTCATAGAAATAACAATAGGGGAGAATGAACAAAAAAAAAAAAGGGGCCCTAAAACTCTTTCCTTCAAATGTCAATCAACTAGAAGTGACATTGTGGATATTCTATTTGATACTTTCACATAATCACAATGCATGTTTGGACAGATGTGTACATGGCCGAGTGCATTAAACTCCCACTAATTTGTGTTCTGAGGATTGCAAGATAAACACTCACACCACTTATGTTTCCACAGAGGGTTTTCCTGCGATCACCGGGTTGCTTAGGGCAAGCCATGCCTTTTATGCTAAAGACACACTCTGTCCAAGTCAAGCCAATATGTACCGAATAAGATTATAAAAGAAAAATGGTAGTTGGTTCCCGTGGATATTATTAAGATCATAGCCTCTGCTTCAAAACGCTCTCCATACGTCATATTATAAGAGTGAAAGCTGAGATTCATGCACAGAAATTCCACATACCTAAAAACCGCATGTGTACAACATGCATAGACTTCCCTGGCACCCTCTTGGTGTAGTAAAGCGGCACCTTTCGTAATAGTCCCTACAACCCAACAGCAAAACAATGATACTTTTTTTTTACAAGAGCAACAACCAAGGATATAACTGCAAAGACTAGTTGATAACAGAGGGAACTATTATGATAACACCAATCAATTCAAAACCTGGACACTGAGTCAATACTGTTTGTGGAATTTGTAGCTAAGATGGTTAAAATTTAGAAGGACAGGTTGTGTTAACAAACTTTTGGTTTCATGAAACAAGACTTTTGTATAACCGAGAAGGATTTTTGTGCATTTATTTATGCACAACCAAGAACTCCTGCACTAATGACTTTAAAAGTACAAAATTGTAAATCGATAACTGGATTTGGAACAGTGCTAAGAGCCAACTATCCCATGCTGACTGCAGGCACATTTCACACTGGTCTCAGCATGTGGCCCACTCAAGCGTGAAATGAACATACAGTCAAAATTGAGGGGCCACGACAGGGATGACTTCCCTTGGCATCTTTCAAAGATTTGATGATTTCAAGACTGTCAGATATCCCGTGTATAGGCTTATGCACGAACTTTCAAGTTAAACCCACATAAAAGACTATCAAACAAGGAATAACCCACTTATCCAAACCTACAAGATACAATTAAAATGCTGTGCACATAAATTCTCTGTCAAAATGGAAAATTGTTTCAATCATGATCTACAGTTAGATGTCCTTAAAAGTTAAATTTATGAAGATGAAATCTAAACTAGTACAATGCAATACTTCCTAGGGTTAAAAGACAAGGGTTACGATCCACAGAAAAAACTATTATTATAATTTCTATTGGTTGAAATATACTTCTTTCTTTGTATAAGAGAGATATATAGTTCTTTTCAGCCCCTGTTACCCCCTATTTCTAATTTAACTATTTTCCATAACATTTGCATCATACGCAATATCCTCTTTTGTTGATTACGATTTCTCCAGAGAATAGCTTTACCATCACGAGCTAGGCTTGTCATCCTTATCTTAATGTTCTATATTATGTAATATCATTCTTGGTACTCCATGTGATCGATTTTGTAAACAGATTAGAGCATGTACAAACTAACCAGCTGTGTCAATCATGTCATCCACCATAACTGCTACTTTTCCCTTGACATCACCTATCAAATTCATCACCTGTAAAAGACATACAGAAATGAGTTGCAATATACGTTTCCAGTGGCAACCCAAAAAATAAACTTATGCATATGTGAATGACTGTCCTTTTCTTGTGACATAGATTAAAGTGAGAGAAGAGAGACAGAAGAAGAAAAAGAAAGAAAGGTTTGTCAGAACAGTGGCACATTCAACAATAATTTTCAGTGTGTAAGCACAAGGGGTGAGAAAAGTGGTAATAGCTCAGGTGAATAGAGTTTAATGTCCTGGTAAAGAATAAAGATGACAGAAATGCAATCAAGTCATCATGTTCTCACAGTAAAGTAGCAACACGGGCACTATGTCAGGATTCAGAGCTAAACAGCAGTTAGAACAACAATAAGATATCTGAAGTTATGTCAAAGAATAATATCCCAGATAAAATAAGCTGACACTACAAATGATGTCAAAGAAAGGAGGGGTAGTTTTTAAATGATTTCAAAAATTATGTGTTGTACCATTGATTCGGACTTCCTAGATTATGTGTTGTAATTTGCAGGAGGTGGAGGTTGTGCATTAACGGATGTTTTAAGTAACTTAATTTAGAGTTATGTAACAGCTTTTTCAGATTGTTTTCGAAAATGTAACATCCTCAAATTAACTTGGTTCATCACAGTCTGCACAGGTTTATCGCTTGACAATGTGATTGTGAAAACATTCAGGTTTCACAACAATTTACCTTTCCAACAATTTCATGTGTTACTTCAAATATAATGAAAGAACAAGACAAACATGGGAGGTAAATCAGATAGTTGTCAATCCCATCTGAATAGATCGTACCTCCGCCACATTGTGCCCGTGACGTCTTTTATCAACAATGGCTAAAGGAGCATCAGATAATTTTTTCGCGAAAGCACGAGCCCTAGCAACACCCCCAACATCGGGTGAGACCACTACCAAATCATCAGAGTATATAGTCTTGCTGGCGAGATAATCAAGTATCACAGGCTGTTAGGACATAAGGAAAAAAAAACGTCATAAAGAACGGGAACCACATAGGAGGAGATGTCCAACAATTCGAACTTCATGATCAACAGTATTTAGAATCATATGCCTCTCAGAAGTCGAGGGAAGAACCTAGGACAACTCGTAAATAAGCATATATACTTTAAACAGCTTAAATCAAGCATAATGAATTTTATCAAAACCATTGTAGATTTGTTTCCTTAAAAGATGTCCAGATACAAATATATTCAAGGGAATACCTCTTTCAGCCAATTTAACAAATATTATGTCACTTCAACTTGATTTTAATTCAGGTGGCCAAGTAACATTCTTATAAGAGTCCAACACCCCCCTGTCCGTGAATTATGAGACAAAAGAGAGCATAGAGCATAGTATTACAGGTATTACCTGACCATATACATGATCCACAGGAATATCAAAATATCCCATAGACTGCCCAGAATGAAGATCACATGCAAGAACACGATTTGCACCTGCTTCTGTAATCAAATTTGCAACAAGTTTGGCTGCAATAGATTCACGCCCTTGAGTCTGGAACAAAAACAATTTAAGATAATAATTAAAACAAATTCGAACTTAAAATTGGTTTACATACCAATTTCAACTAAAATTGGTTTACATACCAATTTCAACTAAAATTATGGCATTGTGGAATTTACTACAGAATGCATTTGCATATATGTTATCAACTCAGCATTCTAAACTTCTGCTTATTCATAATTCTATAGTGTAGCTCAACCTATCTGCGGAAATAATTCAAGCAAAAATGATATTTGAATCCAATTTGAATGTTAATGACCTGAACTTTCTTAAGAAACCTTAAATTCCAAGTTAACCAATCTAACTTGCATATTCGTAATAACTCTCCATCAAGATACTTCATTGAATTTTTGTACTAGGACAATAGGAATAAGCTATTACCATTAAGCTATATTTTGATGCTGAAAGTACAAATTTACCAAAGATGAAAAGCTGTCCTTGCTGATAATACGAAGTTACCTTTCTATCAGCCCTGGCATAGCCAAAATATGGAATCACAGCAGTGATATTCTTGGCTGAAGCCCTCCGACAAGCATCAATCATGACAAGAAGCTCCATAAGATTTTCATTTGCAGGAGGACATGTGGGTTGCACAAGATATACATCACACCCTCTTACACTCTCTTGCAACTGAACATATATCTCTCCATCAGCAAAGCGTTTGATCTTAATCCTTCCAAGTTCCAGGCCCATGCAGCAAGCAATTTCCTATCAAATAAAAAAAAATTGGTCAGACCACAGTGCTAAATGGTTAATAAGTTTACAATACATTATGACTACGTTTGCCTTGGGGAATAATGTTCCAAGCAGAAGTTTTCTTAATTAGAAAAACTTTCTGATGTTTGTTTGAATGGTCAACTTCCTGGGACATATGAGCATTTTTTCAGCTTGTGTGTCAGGAAATGTTTTCTTAAGAGACAAGGAAAGAAAAAAACAATTTCCCTTCTTTGCGTTCAGTCAAATGACATAATCAAGAAAACATTCTCTCAAGAGATTATTTTTCTAAAATCTACCAACAGTATATTTCCCAGAGAATTTTTGTGATTGAAGATTTTTTTTCTTCAAATTTATATTTCCTAGACAAGGATGCATTTTCCAAACATATGAACACCAAAATCATGGGTAATGCAAATAACTATCACCATGAGCTATAGAAACAGAGGAAACTCAAATCATTACTTAAACGAGGAAGAATGGTGTATTTTGAAATATATTGGAAGTTGATGGTACTACGCATTCCTGTAACGAAAAAAAAAATCAATAACCTACAGCATTTGTACATACAAATCTTAACACGCTAACTAATAAACACTAGCTTGCTTTCATGAATTTCGATTATTTTCATGAATCTAGATTGTTTTCATGAAACCTTCTTCCCACTAGCTTTGTCATTATAACTATTAACCATAATGCACTGACAACTAAACATATAAAGCAGAAAACTACACCAACACAATAACCTCCTTCCAACAGTTTCCTTACATACTTTCAGGAAAAACCAAATAAAGTCAACTAGTAGTACATAGAAATCTGACAGTTTTCCTGCACAATTTTTTATTGCAATCCTTTGCAAAATCACCATTTTCTTTTTCTTTTTTCAAGGGATGAATTTCCTTGGGTTTTTTTATCCTCATATTTTCACAAGTAAATCTGAGAGTTTCCAACTGTAAATTATCAGTGAAACACAACAAACATGAACAATGAAAAAGAAGTGAACCCTGATTCACAACTCTTCTACCAAGTCCTTCCTACACTACAGCAGAACCAAAAGGTCCAAAACTCAAAGAATCGCACGCGATACTTTTGGTATCTACTTTCCCCTATCTTATCCTGAGCAGGTGTCCCTCAAGCTGTTACTAGTAACTCGTCCCATAACTATTAACATTCTCATTTCCGCTACATATAAAAATCAAACAATCGCACGCGAAACTTTTCGTATCTAAGCATCTACATCATATCAATCCATAAAACACTAAATGAATTGTTAAAACTCAATAAGTCGACCTTGAATAATAAAATTACCATTCAATAAAACAAACATAGACAAACTTAAATGTTAAAATTTGTATAAAGCTAAACCTGAGACAGCGCAGGGTTCGCAGTGCCGGAAAAGATTCTGAGCCTGGTATCATTCTTGCTAATTTCATTCACCAAATGTGTTTTCGTGTCCGAAAAATTCGGCACCAAATCTTCACTCCTGAGGAGTGGAACGCACGGCTTTCCATTTGCGTACTTGAGAGGCTCTCCCACACCACACCTCTGCAATACATTATTCAGAACCAACAAATTTCAAATCATATTATCCAAAATATCGCTCGAATTGAAACTTGAAACCAATTAGCGATAATATTCAAGAATTAAAGCATTTCTTGAACCAAGAAAACGAAAAGGTTGCGGCGGCTTACCACGGAATTCAGGATGGGGATTTGAGAGCGCGAGTAGTTGGGGAGGTAAGTGCGATGGCGTAGAGAGTCGCGAGAAGCGAGAGAGGACCGGGGCGCTGTGTGAAGCAGCGACGCCATTTCTTGGAGTTGGAGTTAGCAATCAGTGAGAGAGAGAGAGAGAGAGAGAGAGAGAGAGAGGTTAGGGTTATAGTTTTAGAGAGTTGGTCGCCATGGGAAAGAGTGGTGGTAGCGTGGGAGGTTTGTTGGTTTTTTCTCAGCTGCTGCTGCTGCTGCGAGTTGCGGGATTGGGTAATGTAAGGGAGAAACACTATTAGTTAATTTAGTTGCCCCCATTGTGTGAAATCCGTAGTTACTTCTCATATCTTTTTTAAATTTTCAACCAAATAATTTAAAAAAGAACAAAAGACAAAAACTAAAAAAAATATGTAAATAGCACATACATAAAACTCTTTGTGTTATAAAAGGGTTAAAGTTTGAGAGATAACCTTTTAAGTGGTAGGTGCAAGGTAGATGTAAAATGCCACACAAAAACTATAGCACAGACAAATATTAAAAGGCAGAGGAATATATGATGTTATTGATATTTCTCTCTTGTATTTCTTCTTCATCTCATTTCTGTTACATGCGGAGTGCTCTATTTATAGAGCAATTCGAACTGATGCAGTTAATGCATCTTGAAATTTAAAACGTTCCTCTGACATTTTCATTCAGCATGGGCATTGAAAACTTTGCCCATGCAGATGACTTTAGCTTTGTGGGCATTCATTGCCAACAGAAGTTTGAGAAGACTTTTCAACACTCCCCCTTGGATGCCCACATATCAACATGAGTTGCCTCGTTAAAACCTTGCTTGGAAAAACCCAGTGGGAAAAAAAATCCATAGCGAAGGAAAAAGAGTACAACTTTTCCTGGATCGTTGATATAGTGTCAAGTATGCTTATGTTGCCTCGTTAAAACCTTGATAGGAAAAACCCAGTGGGAAAAATCCTAATCGAAGGAAAAAGAGTACAACAAGCATGTATCATGGATACTCCCCCTGATATGTTTCTCCCCCTGATTCCACATTCTCCAAATTTAGCTGTTTGGTAAGTCGACGTAATCCGATGCCTTGCACTAACTTCTGAAATGTGCACTTTGGTAGAGATTTGGTGAACAAGTCTGCCAGATTTTCATTTGAACGGATTTGTCTGACTTCAATAACTTTAGCCTTCTGAAGCTCATGAGCACTGAAAAATTTTGGAGATATGTGTTTAGTCTTATCGCCCTTGATGAATCCTTCCTTCATTTGGGCAACACAGGCTGCATTATCTTCATGGATGACAGTTGGATTGTCTGTCTTCGAAGTTAGACCACATGAATTCCGGATATGATGGATCATTGATCTTAACCAAGAACATTCACGACTTGCTTCATGTAAAGCAAGTATTTCTGAATGATTTGAAGATGTAGCAACTAATGTTTGCTTGGTTGAGCGCCATGAGATTGCTGTATCTCCATTCTTAAACACATATCCAGTTTGTGAGCGGGCTTTATGCGGATCAGAGAGGAAGCCAGCATCTGCATATCCAACAAGGACCTGGTCATCTGTGGAGTTCTTTGAGTAGAAGAGACCCATGTCTATTGTCCCACGAAGGTATCGCAATACATCTTTGATACCCTTCCAATGGCGAATTGTTGGAGCAGAGCTATACCTTGCTAACAAATTAACTGAAAAAGCTATATCTGGTCTAGTACATTGTGCTAAATACAACAAAGCACCTACTGCACTCAGATATGGTACTTCTGGACCAAGGACCAGCTCATCATCTTCTTTTGGACGAAATGGATCTTTCTTAATGTCCAAAGAACGAACAACCATTGGCGTGCTTAGTGGATAAGCCTTGTCCATACCAAATCGCTTCAGAATTTTTTCAATATAAGTTGATTGGTGGACCAAAATTCCACTAGCACAATGCTCGATCTGCAGGCCGAGACAATATTTTGTTTTTCCAAGGTCTTTCATTTCAAATTCGCTTTTCAGATATTCAGCAGTTTTATTGAGCTCTTCAGGAGTCCCAACAAGATTCATATCATCAACATATACTGCCACTATAGCGAATCCAGAATTGGATTTCTTAATGAACACACAAGGGCAAATAACATTGTTGATATACCCTTCTTTGATCAAATACTCACTGAGACGATTATACCACATTCGTCCAGATTGCTTCAGACCATACAATGATCGCCTTAATTTGATCGAGAGCATACCTCGTGGTTTATTACTTGTTTCAGGCAACTTAAGTCCTTCTGGGACTTTCATATAGATGTCAGTATCTAATTCTCCATATAGATACGCAGTGATGACATCCATAAGTCGCATGTCAAGTCTTTCTGAAACCACTAAACTTATTAAGTAACGGAACGTAATTGCGTCCATTACAGGAGAGTATGTCTCCTCATAATCAATCTCAGGTCTTTGAGAAAAACCTTGTGCAACGAGTCGTGCTTTGTATCTTGCGATCTCGTTTTTCTCATTGCGTTTCCTTGTGAATACCCATTTGTAACCCACGGGGTTTACACTAGGCGGGGTTTGGACTACTGGTCCAAAAACATTCCGCTTTTCCAAGGAATTTAATTCTGCCTGGATTGCATCTTTCCACTTGGGCCAATCCTGTCTCTGTTTGCATTCATCAACAGAGCGGGGCTCAATATCATCACTTAAGATGATTTCAGTGGCTACTGCAAATGCAAACATATCATCAATGATTATTTCATTCCGATCCCACAATTCATTTGTACATGCATAATTTATGGAGATTTCTTTGCTTTCATGTATTTCTGTCTCTTCAGGGACAGATGTCTCATCAAGGACATTTTCTTTTTCTGGAAGTCCAGAATTATGAATTGTGGATGTATCATTCATTTTCTCTTCCTGAATGACTTCATTTGGATTCAGTTGTGCCCTCGACTTTCTCTTTCGAGGAGCTGAATCTTTTGAACCTGGGGGTCTACCACGCTTCAGGCGTGCACCAGATGAATCATTTGCTGCTACTTTATTTTGTCCAACAGGGACATCAATTCTTGCAGGTGCATTTGCAGCTGGTATATTTGATTTTGTCACTTTCATAGCATCATTAAATGCATCTGGCATTTGATTGGCAATGCTTTGAAGATGAACGATCCTTCTCACTTCATTTTCACATTGAATGTTGCGAGGATCAAAATGAGACAAGGTGGGAACAACCCATGTCAGCTCTTTCCGTTCTTCTGGAACGGTCTTTTCTCCCCCTAACAACGGGAAAATTGTCTCATCAAAATGACAATCAGCAAAACGAGCTGTAAACATATCACCTGTCAAGGGTTCCAAATATCTAATGATAGATGGTGAATCAAAACCCACGTAAATTCCCAGTCTACGCTGAGGTCCCATTTTAGTGCGTTGTGGCGGTGCAATAGGCACATAAACAGCACAACCAAAAACTCGTAAATGGGAAATGTTTGGCTGATGTCCAAACACGAGTTGTACTGAAGAGTATTGATGGTTGGCTATAGGTCTCAATCGAACCAATGATGCAGCATGTAAGATGGCATGTCCCCATGCAGAGACTGGCAATTTGGTTTTCATGAGCAGAGTGCGAGCTATTAACTGAAGCCGCTTGATCAATGCTTCTGCTAAACCATTTTGAGTATGGACATGAGGAACAGGGTGTTCAACATCAATGCCCAATGTCATGCAATAATCATCAAAGGTTTGAGACGTAAATTCACCAGCATTATCAAGTCGGATTGACTTAATGGGATAATCTGGGAACTGTGCTCTTAACTTAATTATTTGAGCAAGTAGTCTCGCAAAGGCTACATTCCGAGTAGACAAGAGACAAACATGTGACCATCGGGTAGATGCATCAACCAAAACCATAAAATATCGAAATGGTCCACATGATGGTTGAATAGGCCCACAAATATCCCCTTGAATTCTTTGCAGAAATGATGGGGATTCAGCATCAACCTTTAGTTGTGATGGTCTAATTACCAACTTCCCTTGAGAACAAGCTTTGCAAGGGTTATCATTTGAGGCAGCAATGTGTCTGCTCACTAATGGATGTCCATTAGAGTTGGTAATGATCCTACGCATCATGGTAGATCCTGGATGACCCAGACGGTCATGCCAAAGCATGTAAACCTTTGAATCAATGAACTTCTGGTTCATGACAGTATGTGATTCAATTGTCCTTATGTATGTATAATATAATCCACTCGACATACCACGCAACTTCTCCAATATACGCTTCTGGGTATCATTGGAGGTAATGCATAGATACTCCACATTTTCTGCACTTTTTGTTTCAATGTGGTATCCATTTAGACGTATGTCTTTGAAACTCAACAAATTTCGAGTAGATCGAGTAGCATACAATGCATTATGTATGGACAATATTGTTCCATTTGGTAACATAATCTGGGCTTGCCCTGAACCTTGAATTACATCTGAAGGTCCTGATATTGTTGTTACCCCTACTCTTGTAAGTTTTAAGCTTGAGAAATACTTTCGATCACGAAGTATTGTATGTGTGGTTGCACTGTCTGCAAGACAAATATCTCCACCATTTCTCATGTTCTGAGAATAACCACAGTTTTTATCCATGCTCTCTGAGTAAGAGAATCAGAATTAAAAGCAAGTTATAACAAGAAAATTTACATGCCACTTTTATTGAATCTGAAAATACTACAAGTTCAGCATAATAAAAGTACATTAATGATTCAATCGGACCGATATACTTCATTTCCCCTTTCTACAATATAGTCTGAAACATCTAGATGAGTTGTGTTCAACTGCCCTGATAAGTCAAACACTGGATCAGGTGTATCCATGGGTCTAGTCTGGTCGAGAAAGTTAGTCTCGACACCCTTCCCCTTGAGGGAGGCTTGATACAGATCCACTAGATGTTTTGGGGTACGACAAGTACGCGCCCAATGCCCATTGCCACCACACCTATGGCAGGCTCCTTCAGAGTTTCTAGGAGCATTGTTCATATGAGCTTTGCCTTTGTGGCGATTCACATTTTTGAAGCTCGGGCCTGAATTATTCCTGGGGACTTGGTTATGAAACTGAACTCCATGGTTCTTGCCTTTCCTATTCCATCGACCTCGCTTGTGACCACGTCCTCGTTTATGATTATCACCACCAGAGGATGTGGTGTTCACTCCGAGGGAAGCAGCATTCACTTCTGGGAATGGTGCAGATCCAGTAGGTCGGGAATGATGGTTTTTCATCAGGAGCTCATCATTCTGTTCAGCTACTAAGAGCACAGATATCAGCTGGTT